ACATATCAAGAATTTCTGTTGTCTCCAACTTGTGTGAGTAATGGCATTGTTAAAATTAGTTCAGCTCAAAATTTTCCTGTAGATTCATTCAGTTTTGAGAGAGTGTGCTGACCTTTATATATTGTTTCTCAGACCAAAATTATTCCTATCACAGTTTGTTCCTGGTTTCTCTGCATTATTATGTCATCCAAAATTGAATTTTGCATCTTTTTCATAGAGATGTTGATGCAGGAACATATCTTGGGGTAGAAGAGTGATAGAGAGAAATGTCTGAATTCTTTCTCATTGGCCATACTGGTCAGAGTTGAAATCTAAAACATAAGATCACCAAGTTATCTACACTTGGCTGTAGTGTTGTTGTCCATGAGATAAGGATGCTGGGAATCAGGAAATATGATGATGGAGGCACTTGATGTTGACCCTAGAGTGACAGTTTGTTGTCATCAGATAAATATAACTCACAATCTAGTTGTGTTTATATAAAGAAATGGCCATTGTGTCTCAAACTAAAATACTTCTCTATTCTGAGAGGGAGAGGGGAAAGGGGTGTGTGTGTGAGAGAGAGAGAGAGAGAAAGAGAAAGAGAGAAATAGAAAGGAGGAGGGAAGGAGGATGGGCCAGGAGAAAAAGGATTCAACCAACTTGTGAGAAAGAAAGGGATGATTGAGTTAAGAGAAATCAAAGAATCCTGAAAATAGTAATCTTGTAAGGAGGTTTGGACTTCATGAATATACATGAACTTACCCTTTCAGATGCAGGCACCTATTCACCACAGATCCCAAACAAAGTGGGAAAGTTTTGCTCCCCTCCTCCAGTTATTATGATGCAGATTACAGCTTCTCTGTTGCCCCTGGGTAAACTGCAGTGTTCTACAGAGTCCCTGGAAGGAGGGGGAAGCATTTACTTTCTCCCTTCCAGCAATCTTGCTCCAGAATGATGTTTTTCTTCACAGCTAAGGGTCATGTGGAGAAATAGACCAGGGATTTCCAAGTAGGAAGGAGCATTCTTGGGCCACAGGATTGCCTGTCTTGTTTTTCTTTTGAATTTAATCTCAAATATACTTCAGTGGTGTGGAAATGGTGATTGGTGTGTTGAACTTCCACAACGGGATGTTACACCAGCCCTATCATTTTGTTATTTTAAGGCCTGGTATTTTGAAAACTCAACCATTGTTCTGAACACAGAGACCTTTGAGTACTCATTGAGTTATTTACTTACAGATTGGGATTCCAAACTCAAGACTGAGATACTTCCTGATTGCAAGACTCCATTCAGAGCCCTTTCCTTTTCTAGCACCTGGGAAGGTGAGACTACCTTTTCATCATTAATCACAAAAGCTACTGGTTGCGGTAATCTCAAACTTGTAGTCAGCTGTAAATGCAAGTTTAAAAATGTGCCAGATATATTTTGTTGAGTGATGCTAAGCTGTTTGAAGACATGGAAGAACACTGCATCTAGTAGGCAAATTATATCATGCAGCATGCTTTCCTATGGATCGCTCCTATTGCTGCCTATCAAAAAATATTACATAGCCAAGCATGATGCTCTTCAAATGTGTTGGAATTGCAATTCCCAGAAGTCCCTGCTAGAAGGAAGGATAGAGGAGAACAGCATACAAGCTCGAGGTTCACAATGGCTTGTTCCTATTCATTCATGTTGTACTAAACTGCGGTTTAACTTAACGTGAATGCACGGACTGTTCTGTCTGTTGAAATCTCCTCTTTGAAGGCACCTCGAAGCATTTTTTGTTTTATAGTTCTGTAGAGAAAAACGTGAACTGCTGTAACAAAGCAACCAAGTTTGGTTGCTAAGGGCAGATTGAAACATTGTGCAAAGGCATCCACAAGCCCAATTTTGAAGCTTCACCACATGAATGGCTGTAGCTGGAAGAATATCCCATTCAGTGCTTTGAGAAATGAGTACTGATGGCAAAGAGTTCCTCTCTAATAAGTGGACTTTATTATTAGACTGAAAATATTAGACTTCTGCACTACTTGTTGAATACCGTATTAAAACATTTTGGATGAAATTTGCACATGGTGTGTGCATGTGAACAACATTTGAATTAATTGCCTGAAAAACAAATCAGAAGATGAGACAATTTCAAGGCAATAACAGGTTCATGTTGTCAGAAGACAAGAGCACCAAACTTAAGACTTGTGAACAATTCACCAATCTAGGTGACTAACTTGTATCAGAGTAAGCATCCTTTACCTGATGGTCAGCTTGACTGTTAGATTCCATATATTGCTTGCCCCAAATGGTGATTGCTAATATACCTGGAAGGCACAGGATGAGGAAAGTTGATTTATAAAATAATATTTAATTACTTTAAGATGTACATCTCTGAAAATATTTGATAGTTGATCTCTGAAAGTATTTGATACTTAGTAATCCCAGAAAAGGATTACTCAATAATCTTACACATGCTGACAGATTTGATATGTGACACTGAAATGCGTTTTATCTGTCTTGTTGAATAAAGTACAATTTGCTGAGTTCACACATTGCTCTAAGCAGTCTGTCATAGCTTGCAAACCATAGCTGCTTGGTACACAAAATCGAGTAAGCCCAAAACCAAACAGTTAAGTATATGCACCCGATCTGGATACACTGTCATCCTTGCTCAAATCAAACTGGAAGTTTCCCTTGAATCTCTGTGAATATAATACTCTTTAATGAGTTGCACATTTTTCTTCAAACAGATATTGACTGATTTCCCAAGCCAGGAACCAGAGAATTCAAAGACATGTAAAGATGCTGCAGCTGTGACAGAAGCTGGTTCTCCAGTCCTTACCAAAATGCTCGGCTCTGGCCTTCATGCTAATGGCAGGCAGTGCCCACAGAAGAGGGACTTTCTGTATAAACTTGAAACAGAGACAGAATTGGAAAGAAAACAGCAGTGGGATGACAATCTCTCTTTACAGATGCTCAAAAATTTTCTCCAAGAGGATGGAGAAGGGCTGAGTCAGTATTCCTTACCATTGAAGTCTTTGCTACGTTATGCTCTCCTTTTAGATATTGTCAAACCCACTTGCAGAAGATCTACATGTTTCACAAAAGGGTAAGATCCTCCAAATGAATGTGTTAATTCATTTGATGTACTTTTCGGGATAAAAATGTTCTCTTGGCATCTTCTTTTTTTAAAACGTAGCGAATAAGCCAAGGCACAGTTCTCCTAACTACACTTATCCCAATCTTTTAAAAGACACATCCAGCCCAGAAGATTCCCAGAGGAGATTGCCATATATTAATGATCTTTCCAAGGAATTTTCTATGCCTCATAAAAGCAAAGCCCTGCTATTGGCAGTTGGCAAGGACATTTATTGTTGCATTTCCTTATAGCTCTTTCAGGACAATGAAACAAGGGTGGGGAACTGAATCAGGAAGGGATGGGACACAAGGTTTGGTTTCTTTCCACTCACCACCTCCAGATGCCCCGAAGGCCAGATAACATCATGGCGGAGGGAGCCCCTCTCTGAGGTACAACTCCCTGCTGCTGTCTTCTGGCATCCATTCCTCCACGGGGAGCAAGAGGGGGCAACCTTTTGGTGGCCAGGACTACATGGTTTAAAGTCTGTTCAGCCTTCGGGATCTACCAGTGAATGTTGTGAAGTGGTTTGCAGGGAATTGCAGCTGATAAACAGTTGAGCAAGAGAGATCTGCTCCATTACAGTGTTGTCATTCAAGCAACTTTTCATCACTGTAGCCATATACATGTGAAGACTTTGGTTCCTTTTATTTTATACTATTACTTTTTGTATTCCAAGTCAGTCTTGTGATATAAAATAGACTTTGCCTGCAGTTTCTGTCCCCAGAAAGTGTGTAATGCAGGGGAGAGATGCAGACTCTGTTATTTAATCCTTGTGATCCAGGGAGGTCCAACCAGGTTTTTTTTTTCCTTTCTCTGCTTATTCACCCTATTACTGTCTAGAACAGTAATTTAAACTCTCCTAGCTTTCCATGTCTCCTTTACTGGAATCACTGTTTGTCTCTAGCTAAAGTTCCTTCCCTCTCTCCCTCATCAGCCTTTTTTTTGGGGGGGGGAGTGGTATGCTTGGCTCTGTTTGCTTGATAACTGTTTCTCTGGTTCTGCTTGTCCTGTAATTAACAATAAATGACAGCCTGCAAGAAACTGCTGCATAAATGTGTTTATGCAGAAAACCCACAGTGGCTCCAGAAAAGGCATACCATTATTTTTAGTGCTTCTGTCTGAAATATCACTTAGCCCAGTATTGTAAAGGGCTGTGTACACCTTGAAAATGATTTGGAAGAAGTGTTTTGGACTTTGCAAGAGGACGCCACCACCACTCTGCTGTTCATTAAAGCAGCCTTTTTTTCATGCTTCTTCAACTTACAGAAATGTACCACTGTTTTAAGAATCACATTAACCTTTGAGTCAGATCCTTGAAAGAAAGACTGGCTGTTTTAATGTTCAGTATGTTTGTGGGCCTGGGAAGTTCAAATCATGTCTTCCACACTATTTTCAAAGCATGCACAGCCAAGGTACATTTGATAGGAAAAGCTGTGGGCAGGTATATATGGTGATTAATCTGTATGGGGTCAATTGAAAATAATGAATCCTATATGCATAGGCAGTATGATACACACACTTCTCATTTGAACTTCATCAACATCAAACCATGTTGATATAGGAAAACAAAAATTATTGAGTGTCCTGTTAGATGCTTTTATAAGCCATTTGCAAACACAACCTCTCCACTCATCAATAGTGCAAATCTCTCAAGAATTATAATGTATGGCTCTTAATTGATTTGAAGGTATGGGCACTATGTAGAAGGAACTGGTTCCGTATTGCAGATGGCAGAGGATATTCAGGTACAGTGGTACTTTTTATATATTCATGATTTATTTTATTTTATGGTACAGTTTCTTGGCTTTAGTTAATAAAAAAAAATAGGTAAGAGTAAAGCTTCCAGCAAGAATTTCACATTGAACCTAATACAGATTGCCTGAATACACGTGCTTAAACTTAGATATATTATGTATTCTTTATATATTAATATATATTAATTATATATTAATATTTTATGGAATAATTGTAGGTGGTTCAAATATTTCAAAATCATCCAGATTTGTGGAAAAGCATATACAAGTGGTCCTCGGGTTACGACCACTCATTCAGCGACTGTTCAAACTTGTGATGGCACTGAATGAGGGGGGACCTACAACTGGTCTTCAGGGTTCTGGCCGTTGCAGTGTCCCTGTGGTCACATGATTGCAATCTGTCCACTTGATGCCCAGCTTATGAATACAACGTTGCAGCAAGCCATGGTCACATGTTCAAGATTTCCGACATTCCCTACCAGCTTCCCACAAGCAAAGTCAATGAGGAAGCCATGGTCTTGTGAGGTTCCCACTTAATGATCCACACTGTCCTTGCTTAACAACTGCAACTGGGCCTGCTGGAATTGCTGTCACTAAGTGATGCGGTCACATGAATTGCATAGTGACCGCAATTCCGGTCTCAACTGCTATCATAACCCGAGGACTATCTGTAAAACTAGTAGTGAATTTGAGTGTGTGAGTGAGAAGGAAAAATTGTTTAATAGCAACTGACTGTACAAAAAAATAGGTATCTGCAAAGGTTATTTCAGTTTCTCAGATTTGCATAGGCAGTGATTTTGAAACATTATTATAATATTTTTATCCTGCCTTTTTTGATATATATATAACTCACCGGATTTTTCTGGACAGATTTTCTTCCCATGGTATCATCAATGTGCAAATACCTTTTAAAATTAATAGTACAGATTCAATATGAAACTATCTACAAAGGTGGTAACTTTCTTTTTTTTAAAAGTTATATTTCATATACAAAAATCAAGACAACAAAGAGAACTGATAACCTGCACTTGCATATTAACGTACATGAATCACTAAGCTGATAAATGTAAGCTGGCTATGCATTTAAAGAAGAGAATTGCATTTTTTAATAGAATCAATAGAGGAACACCTTAAGCAAAGATTACTGCAGTGAAAAACCAAATCTGCAATGAATGAACTGTAAAACAGAGGTGGACAACCTGCATCTCTCCAAATGTTGCTGGATTACAGTTCCCAGCATCATTCATCAGTAGCTTAGCTTTAAAAAAAAAAAAAGGCATTTTTCACTTACTCTTCCCATATTAAGAAAAATGCGGATTGTCTTATTTTGTTGTTTGTTCTTGGTAGCTGTCTCTCAGGTCATTTATGTTTGCTTTTGTCATACCCTAAAGTCACATGGAACTAGATCAGAGGGGACCACAGGAGAAGTGAGGTGGGCAAAGCAGCACCGTGCCATTATTCCTCAAGTTCTGACCCTTGTGTGCGTGCATGACGATGTTATGCGCACGTACGAAAGGAGCAGCATTTGCAGCTTGATGCTGCTTCCGTCATTTTGACAAAAGCATCAGATCCTGTGGATATCCCTAGACAAAGAGTTTCAGCTCAGTTCTACTGCAGTTAATTTCCCGGAGCCTTGCAAGTCATGATGATGATGAAGTAGTGGATGCAGTTAAGAATATTATGCCTTAGTCATACATCATGAACAGTTTACCAAACTCTTTTCCACAGCTTGAATCGGTATTTAAATCCTTTGATGATTTGTCTGAAGATGCAAAGCTTAAGAACCTATCAATGCTTCAGCTGCGGTATTTTACTCCTAGAGAAATAGCAAATCTGCATGGATTTCCCCCTGAATTTGGTAGGTGTTTAGTATTTTTAAAATACAAATATAACTAATATTTACAAATGTGTACACACCACAAGCTCAGTGAACATGCTTACTGTATATACTCACATATAAGTCAATCTACATATAAGTCTACCTACAAAATTGCAACTAAAATACCAGGAAAAATGCACCACCTGCAGATAAGCCCTGCTGTGAAATTGCAACCAACCAAGGAAATAACTTTCCTTTTTTTCTATTCACAAACTTGTTTTTCACATACCTCAGATTCTCTGGCAGCAGCAGAATTGTTTGTCATCTCCACTCTAACAATATTTAGCTTGAAAGGTGCATTATACAATAAGCATTGACAATTTCTAGACATGGTGATTACCTACCTATGGAAATGGGTGCAGCAAAAGTGGGAAATTGCAAACTTCTATGTCATCGCTTAAAGCCTGTGATTTTTTTTTTAATCTGAGCTCTGGGCTGCAGGTAAACCAAACCCAATTTGGGGGTGTATTTTGGAGTCAAAAATTCTCAGCTTACAGACAAGTATATATGAAATGTTATAAATTCTTCAACAAGAAAAACACTTCTTGAGTTTATTCTTAGTTTGTCCTTATGAATTTTGAATATAATACATTTTTTCTAATGTGACCACAGTATCTCAGATTCTATATTTGTAGTACATTATAAAATACACACAGTTGTCCATATGGTTCTCTGTCTTTTGGTTCTCCTTCTTTTCTGATGTGAAAGAAGCACCTAGGAGAGGGAGTCGTAGACTCTTCTAATTGTTTTATTTTTGTTAATAAAATCAGTCTCCTAAGGCTGCTGAAATAACATCACTATGATCAATTAGGATGTCTGTGCATCTGTGACTAGCTTTCAGAGGATGACATCAGATTATGATTATTCAGAAGATGCTTCTACTGCTAATGTTTTTTTTTCCCCAAAGGCTAGTTAGGCCTTCTTCAAGCTGGTGCACTTAAAATATGCCTGGCTGCATGCTGTCTGGGCATAATATCGATAGTGATCGGATACATCAGGAAGGCATCAGATTGGATAATGGCTGGGTCAGAATAGAAAAGAAGAGAGATGTTGACATACAGGCTTGAGACAGATTTTTCCCTTTTCCAAGTGACGGATTTTGTAGAGCATACCATTTAGTACTGAGGTCATGCTGGAATCCAATTTCTCCACAGTTCAGTGGACATGAATGTAACCAGAAGGAAAAACACTTTAAATGAGGCCAAAAAAAATTCTTTGCTAAATAGTAGTGAAAAGGCAAGAAAGACAAGATGTTCCCTAAAATAGGAAAGTTCTTAAGAGAACCACATTTTACCATACCAAAAAATAATGCTGAATGATCAGTGGATTTAATATCATGAAATAATCATGCTTGGTTGGAGTAATCCATATTTCATGGCTCATTGTGCATTGGCAGTTAAATACCAGGATTTAAAAAAACAAAACAAAAGCCCAAGCAGTTACTTCTCAGTACTTTCAGCTGAAGGCCTGTTCCAAATAAAGATGGTTTCTAATACATGCTATAAGTTCTAGAGAAGACCAAGAAAATAGAATGTTTGTAGTACAGTACTGTACCTGTCTGAAAAGCTCAAGACATTCTCAAGTCAAGGTTGATTCCTGGTGTCTACATAAAAACAACTATGCAGCTTTCTTGGCAATAGTACAGGAATTTGTCTTTATTTTTTTTCTGGAATGGTGTGGTTGGTTGGTTGGTTGGTTGGTTGGCTGGCTGGTTGGTTGGTTGGTTGGTTTCCCAGTCTAGTCTACAATCCTGGTGGTCTCCCATCAAAACACTAACCAGGCTAGGTCTTCTTAGTTGCCAAGGCAAGCAAGAGATGGTATATGTCCACTCAAAAGTAATTTCTGTTGAGTTCAGTGACCTTACTCTCAGGTCAGGGAGGACTGCAGTTCTGTACTCACTTGCCTTAGAATATGAGTCATTGAACTTACTGTCTATTTAGAAGTAAGCCTTCATAGGATATCAGTGTCAGAATTATAGCAATAACCATTAATTGCATTTGGAATTAAGACATTTCATATGACTGAAAAAGTAACAAAAAGTTTTCTCTTTTTAAAAAAAATTTTTTTTTGTTTAGGTTTTCCTGAAAACATTACCATAAAACAGTGTTACCGTCTACTTGGAAACAGCCTCAACGTGTACGTGGTTGCTAAATTAATTTCATTTCTGGTTGAATCATACTAAGCGATGACCTGTTTAAATGAACTGTCTGGTGGCATTCTACTATGTCAGAATGTGGATTTCTTCCTTGGAAGAGGATTGAATCCGATTACCATGGTGCATTTGTGTGGAATCTCATCTTTGTTTATAAAATAAATAACTCTCAAATGTGTGTCTGTCTTACCATTTGTGGAAATAGAGGGTGTTACTGAAAGCCACATGTTAGTATTTTAACCTATGAATACTGGATCCTGTATTTGTGAAAAATAGGAACTATTTAAATACTTAATATAAGCCATTTTAAACACTCTTAAACCCAAGTTCAGTGGTGGAGAATAAACGTCTTTAAATAAACTCTTTTTAAAGACATACATTAAATTGCTTGTAATGTCTTTAAAGACAGCTCTTTTATTCTTAATATCACTTTTTCACTGCTTCTCCCAAAGAAATTCTGGACTTGTAGTTTTCTGATATTTTTTTGTTAGAAACCTCTGCCTTTTGATTCCAATTTTCAAGCTTCCCAGGAAAGAAGAGTGACTGATAAAGATGCACCTGAACTTACTCTTTGTGGAATAAATCTGTGTACTGATTTGATTCTCTGCATGTTGAAAACCCCAGGTTCAATTAGAAGCACCTCTAGTTACAAAGATCAAACAGCAGATTTTTGAATCTCAGAATTTATATTCAAAGTAAAGGACAAACTCCTGACCTCAACACAACTCTTTCTTAGTAGATTCATACTTAAATCTAATGTTTCATTGTTGCCAATGTATGTGCCTTTTGCAGAGCTCAGAACAATGACAACGACAAAAACCTTTCAATAAAAAAAAAGAGTAGCCTATCCTGAAGATTTAAAAATAATTGACAATTATAAAGCATGGCACTAGATTAGAAATAGTAGGCAATAAATATTTACTTAGGTGCAAAGTCATCAAAGAAATTGAATCTGGCTTTATACCTTCTTATAACCTTTATCTGGCACTATGCGAATGCTCAATAGGGCAGATTTCTGAATTCTGGTAATCGTATGACAAAACGTAATAGCTTTTCAGACAAGGGAGAAATTTTAAGAAAAGAACATTGATACTGTAATAGCACCTGGAATTCTATTGATAGGACTGTCAGCTTATGCAAGCTTGAAGACATGTCTACTCTTCAAAACACTTGCCATAGAATTATAGGACTGTATACAGTTACACTCTTGTCAGTGTGATGGCTTCCATCCATGGAGTGGAAGGAGTGATCCACCATCCCTCTGAAGCTCTGCATATATGTTCAATATCTACCTTGAAGGGTTGCGAGATATTCTGGAGGAGAGATGAGAGATGTTCTCTTGTATGAAGAGAAGGCTCTGGTTCTGGAAAATAGCTTTTATCTGCAATATTTCAAAGACATGAAAAGCCCCCAGGTTTAATACATCACCTTTCTAGTTCATCTTTTTGGATAAACCCAACTGTCTATATTGTAACATGTTACTGCTGAAGGTAAGTACAGTGCACAGAGGTATTCAGTGAATATTCTTGTAAAATGTCATAAGCTTCCATTCATATGCAAGAAAACATTCCTATAATTATGTTTTTAAATTTAGTTCATGCCAAATTTATTGTATGTTAAAGACCTCTGGAATTTATTGAATGGTCTGGAAATTGGTATGTTTTAGCAATACTTATATACGAATCATGAGGTCTTAATAATTACCGTGGCTCAAATTTGTCTGCAAGTCAGTGAGGAATAAAGAATAATTCATGCAGAGGAGAGGAAAAAGTATGGGTCCAACCCAGACCCATGAGTAAGTTAAGTCTCATTGATTTAATTTAGTTTTCTCTAATTATAACATATTTGAACTATATCCAGACTTTCTTTGTATTAACTCATTTTCTTTCAGTTTCTCTGTGTGTTTTTTAAACTCATGGTATATTGTTTAGACCTCTACTAGAAACTAGTGGTTAAGAATTTAAGTGTTATTACCCTTTATTATGAATTATGAACTCTAACAAATCAGGTCCATGCTCAGAACCATGGAGGTATTTACTTGCATTCCTGTGAAAAGTCATCTGGAGATCTCTGTTGAATATAAGTTCATCAGGGATACTGATGAAGGGCTAGGAAGCCTAGTCCATTCCACTCATATGTGTATCTTATTTAGACATAGTACTCGGTAGAATATCAAAATAGTTGATAAGGCATGAGGATGTTAATTCCTTTTTAAAACATATCTCCGGTATGATAGCATTTAGCATATCTCCAATATGATGAACATCTTAAAATATTTTCAAAACCTTAATGTATCCCTACTATTTTCAGAACCTAGAATGAGGCATGATCCAAGAGGAAATGGTCCTGATGAAGTTTTATTGTTAATAAATCTGCCTCTCCCCTTGATTATTACAAGCTTAGCACTTTTTGTCATTGTTGCATCCCAAAGTATTGAGATTCAAGCTATGGCCAAGAAAATCAAATATGTTCCTTCTTATTTTTGACTCAAATGACTATCAAATTCCTGAAGTATTGTTATGAATAAAAGTTGCCAATCTTGTAGGAGTATTTCCAAAAACTGATTTGTTACTGGGAAAAAGAGGGGAGTGGAGAAATGATGTTTGCTTTCTTAAATAGAGGCTTAACTGAACTTTTAAAAGCCACAGACAAACCAGACCAAAACAAGCAAACTAGCAACTCTGGGTTTATTTACCTATGCACCCTCTCCCTATTATATGCTCTGACTTAGTGGCAAACAGGTTCTATCTATTTCATCTTTCTATTTCCTCACACATCCACGTAACAGTGAGGTATGTTAATCTAGGAACCTGCATTCCAAAAAGCAGATTTGAAACCAAACTTCCCTTGTGTAATAGTCTACTCCAGCTTTCTCCAATCTAGTAACCTCCATATATGTTGGGTTATATTTCCCATCACTCCCAGCAAACACGTTCCCCAGATGAACATCTCACTGTTCTATTTCATCAGACTATTTGTCTAACTTCAGTATTTCCTGACTAGCAATAACCCTCCATAACCTGCTACATGTACCTTTTACATGAAAGTGCCATCAACGGAATTTTTTAAATGCAAAGTTGGCATTCCACCCCTGAGCTGCATCTTCTGCCAAACATAATTTATGGTGTTATAATGTATTATAGCAGTAGCATAAAAAATATCATTAATGTAGAGTAGGAACCATTGTGAAATCAGTGGAAAGGCAGTAGCTGAATGATACCACATCTGATTTGCCTGCAGAACATCCCATGCTTTATCTTGGGTATATATAGATAAGACTGATGATATCTCTGTTATATACGAAGCCTGGAAAATTACTGACAGTCAGTTTCACAGTACAAAGCCAGATGGATCAATGACCTGATCTATGCTTCTTTGTTATGCAATATGTTCCTATGCTCCTATTTTATAGTACTGCAAAGCCATTGGTTTAATCAAAATACGTGGAATGTGGATCAGCTTATTTTTTTATTAGTTCTATATTTTCAGTTGCAACATTATTGATTAAGGGTAGGCCTGTAGACTAACTCTCACTCTCGTCCTGATGCTCTGCCAGTGATAACATGGCCATCAAGCCTCTCTTAGTTGTGGCTGGGCCACCTTTTATAGATGCCATTATGAAAAAAGCTAAAGTTTAATGCAGCACAATCTGCTGTTGAATCGCCTTTATTCATTGG